TCCCTGTGCCTTGCTATAGAGTGGGACCTAAATTATTCTAATGACTTTTTAAATTATAAACTATCCTGTATTATAATCAAACTTGCATGCAACTGAGCTATCTTTCGGAGTTCTTGTTTCCTTCTATTAATGTCAGTGTGTGTTCAGGATATTAATTCATCAAATTGCATTTAAAACCACTATTTTTGATAAGTTCTCATTTCCATCCACACTACAGCACAAAAGAGGATTACAGTCAAAAACCTTTTAATCATTGAATTCTACCTGTCACTTTTATTTTAGGTGATTCCATCTCCTCCAGTACCTAAGACTACCCAGGGATTTATTGGCTGGAGATCTGCTGTTCCAGGGTTGAAACTTGAACGTGGCTTCCAAATCCAAAGCCGCAAAGGTACCTTTTATAAGGAACTGAAGTGGCCATGTGAGCCCTCTGACTGACATTAAGAAATAAGTTAGGCAAATAGATCCGTTTGCATCCCTAAGTTAACATTCTATAGTGGACTGTTGGACTCTTAAACATTTATGCTTTAAAAACTATTTATGTAAACATCCACAGTCATTTTTGGTAAAGTGCAAACATTTTAATGTAGCATTTTACTTGTTACTGATTTTTTTGAAATCTATGGCATCCAAGCTGTTAACACTGCTTCAATGAATAAAGTCATATAAAGATCACAGAGCAGGTACTACTTTTATTAGCATTAGTAAGACTGTGATTTTAAAGTATTTATTGGAAGTCTTTAAAAAACTTACTTTGTAATGACAGAGCACATTTTTATAATTGTTTCTCCATGAAAGCCTCCATTCGGACTCAGTTTCACAGCAGTTTTTTCAAACATAAATACAGACTGTCATGTTCCTGACAATCCTACCCCTACCCTGCTGCTCAGTCCCAATTAATCACTTACCAGTACTGGAATCTGTGTTTAGAACTAGTTTTCAATCAGCACTCTCAACTGGCTCACTGTTGAGTTGCTCAGGTGCCTGTCCTAGCACAAAGACATCTCTTTTGTACAGAAAGGGGATGAGAAGAGTAGCAGGCATGACTTAAATTGGCTCAAGCTGCCATGGAACTGCATCGTTACATTTGGAAAGAAGATTTCCTCATTAAAAAAACAAACCACAACAAACCAACAAACAAACAAAAAACACCTGCAGAAAAGATAATCATCAGGCTTCATCACAGTGTGTCCACTGCAACTTGAAAAAAACAGGCAAATCATAAGTATAGTTAAGTCATAATTATTAAATGCACTGTGTTCTGTGTTGTGTGTGATTTACAGGCAGTTTGTGTAGTTACACACATAAGTAATGGAGTAGTTCCCCGTGCAACTGCTTGATTGGTATAAATAAAGCATACAAAGGCCATTTAGCAAAATGAAGTCACTTTCAAAAATCAGTTTTGGTATCAATATAGGTTTTTTCCAATAAGTTGATCAGAATGCAAATGTGTTACGAAGTATTTATGTTGCTTCAATTTTGCTTATACCAATATTTATACCAACCAGGACTGGTGAAAGACTCGGAAACAGTAGGGGACTGCACTGGGAGTTACTGGTATAGGTACCTCAGTGCTATGGAGTTCAGTCTTGCATTTCATTACCTACCTGAAGATTTGCCAGGACTTTTGGAAATTCAGAAGGAGACTCATTTAGTTGTAGCAACTATTTGCAGGATATAGTTCCAATTGGCTAATGTGTTTAAACTTGAAGATTGTTTACAAAATAACAGCCTCCAAGAAATCAACACAGGCAGTTCTTCATAACTCCTTATTTCTTAAAGAGGAAGGACTTTCCTCTTTAATCCTGCTGCAAAATCTCCTTTGTATTCTGCAGCTATCAGTATCTACTTCTTGAGTCAGCAGTAAGTCCTTGGCTTTCATAGCAGTAGGTCAGCAGCTAGTGTTTGTTCTTTCCTTCTTCCCAAGAAATGACTCACAATGATGAACATCCCACCTATTTTTTTTTTTTACATCCAGTTCCAAATGCCCACAAAATAATAATATTTTACTTTTTCCATATTCTTTACAAATAATGGAGAAGTGACTCATATCCTTTGGAAAGATTACCCCAGAATGAGAATACATGGCAGAAGTAACTTCAGACACATTACTTAAAAACCAGAATAAAGAATAACTTGGAATCCGACTCTGGAAATTTAAGCTAAATTGCAGTTTAGCTGCTAACTATAACGTGTAAACTGTTCTTCGAACAAACAACATAATTGTAAGAACAATATTTTAAATCAGTGTGCTTTCTTGTCATTGCTAGGTTTGTATCTCTATTTTAATCACATGGTTCTTATTCTTCAGGTCACGTATAGATCCTCTTATTCTTGTCTGATTTATATAAACGGGTATAGTAAAGATTAGTATGTAATTTAGTAGCAACAAAATTACATGTATTCAGGCCCAATGAAAGGGGAGTTTCAAGACCACTATTTTTTTAAAAATGTTATATTAAAAAACCAGAGCTGGCACCTAATATCCCGTAGATGTTTGTATGAAGTGAAATCCAAATCCATATGAGTCATGGTTTTATTTTGAAAACCAAAATAAATTCTTTGTCCAGCATCTACAGTTGGACATTTCTGAATCTTATTCCCAGTGTCTGAATATTAACTCTCTACTAACAGTAAGGTTTTTTTATCATACTTTCCATCATTTAAGGTACCTTTACTTCAGGACATAGTTTGATATAGCCTAATTTGGGATGTGTAAGGAGTATTGTCTAAAATTTGAACTCATTCCTCTGGCATAAATCTTTCAGTTGTTAACTGATCCGTGTATTTGGGGTTTTGGTGTTCAAGAATATGTGAAACTATAAACCTGACTATTTCTTTTCCTAACACTTTTAGTTTGACCCTTTATACCTGAAAAGAATTGTGTAGAATTTGTGGATTTGCAGCTGACAAAGGACTGCCCAGTCAGCTGCCCCAGTTGTGAATCCAAAAGGCTGATACAGAATTATTAAATTGCCTTGTAATGTTTCAAACCTGGCATTTAATTTGCGGAAATTAACCTATTTATTGGAGCCAAGTTGGGCACATAAATGTCACTGCACACTGTAAAATACCACGCCATCTCCAAGGTCAGGACAGTGTTAGTAAACTCAGTGCACAAAACAAAACTAAATCAATTCAAAAATGCAGCAAAAGTCAAGACAGTTTTAAGCCTATATGAAAGTCTTAGACCTGTGCTTCTGTGCATCTCAGAGCAGAATGGGATGTTTCTAAACATATATAAAAAGTTATGCAGTTTATTTTTAACCAGAATTTGAAAATAAGATGCAAGTGTATTTAGCTGTCTTCTATGCTTCGATTTAAATTTCATTTGGTGTAGTGTTTCGTAAAGCTTTTGGTGGTCTAAGGTTCACGTTAGCAAAGTGGTATGCATATCAATTCCTCTTCAGTTGACCAAAATTTTTTAGAAGACTGAAGGCATCTTGTCTTTTGACTGTTGTTTTCAGACTAACTAGTTCTTTGGTAGCAGGCTTATTTTAAATAGGAACTGTGGATGATGCTTTCAGAATTGCATGTGCAAAAATTTTACTGTATTTGATACACAGTCACCACAGCAAGACATGAAAATAGGTCAGCCATACATCTTCTGCCACCATGGATGTGTGCCTGCATATACTTCCCTGCGTGTGTGATGAAATAATAGTAGAGGCTTAAATGACAGTTGTATTTAAGTTGAAGGGCTATGAAATCAGAACTATCTTTCTCACAAGCACTTGCTTTATAAACAACAAAATTGGGTGACAAAAACCTGGTGCGTTTGCCTTCACAGTGTGTTCTTTTCTGTACTGTTAGAACTAGCATAGAACTGACACTTCCTTTTTGTAATTTCATTAAGATAAGATATTTTACCAGGAGCTCAGAGGTGAAAGATGGTTGTTTATTTAAAATGCATTTTGCATCAGAGAATAAAAATTTTTGATTAGATGATAGTGAAATGGTGATTCTGAATAAGTAGCACTACTCAAATTGCAGTCACCATACAAGTGTTGCTGTACATTTTGAAAGAAGCAAAATGAAAAGCAACCACAGCATGTGCATAGCCAATTGATCTAGCTAATGTAAAAGGTGGCTGCTTAGAGAATAAATCTAATCACTATTCTGCATGAGACGTTTCTACAAAGTTACATGCTGTGACTGTTTTAATGGATACCCACTGCAGTCCTAAGTTTGTGCAAAAATAACTGTCTCCAATTCCTGCTATTGGCTACTCTGTTAGCCTGAAGTAACTTTAATTCTGAGATCATTTGCCTTAGAAAACAGGAGGTAGATATTTTTTTTCTTTTCAGAGACTTAAGGCTCCTCATTCAAACACATCATTTCCCCCTTTAGTGGAGGATTCTTTGTGGTTTCTTCCACATTCTACGAAGTCCCAAAGCGACAAATGCTGGTGTAACATAGTCATTGGCAACCAGAGCAGAAATTTCTACTCCCATGTGAAGCCCAACCCAGTCGCTTCTTGCATTAGGTTCCTAAATGTGTTGTATTTAGCTCCCCTTGAAACCCTAAGTGTTAGCGTAGCAAGACAGCTAAGGCCCACTCACAGACTATTACCTTCTTCCTGACTCCTGTGGTTTTCACATCCCAACAAATTGTTATTTAACTAGTTGAAAGCATGTCAAACCATTTCATAGGACCATAGTGTAATAAATTTAACTGTACTGGAAAATGATACCGTTGTGCTGTGAAACTGATCCGGTTGCCAGTGAACAAAACATTGCCCCTTCAGTCTGTTCTATCATACATGGAAAAGATCAGCAGTGTTGAGAAATAAATTCAAAACAAACCCAGAAACTTTGTGAAAGCAACGCAAATCTGATTCATGTTGCACCAGTGAAACAAAACACTGGAAAGGGTCATTATTTTTGTCAGACGAATTGGAGATAATGTTGACCTTAGGGTTGCGGGCTGCTCACACACATCTCAAGACTTGCTCTGTTACACGGAGAACAGTTCAAAGAGATTAAAAGAATGCTCTTTCCTGTATGCCTCAGTGGTGGATTTATTTCCATAAGGGTTTCCAACTGGAAATTCTCTGATATAACCTGAAGAGTACCACAGGGCAGCTTTTCATCTCAGTGCAGAAGGATGTAGTGTTGCCACCTCTGAAGTAAGACACACTTACCAACCTGAGCACTGGGGTTTGCAGGCTCTGACAGAGTATGAAACGTCCAAAACCATCCCAGGATGGTGGTAAGCCACTGGACATCTAGCACAAGGCTTGCAGAGAAACTGGAGGTTGTGTTCATGAAGAGTGTTCTGAAGCATCTGCATTTTCCTCTGCACCATCCATGAACTGCCATGGCTTCAGATGGCCACCACGCAACGCTGTAGCTTAGGCACAGCATCTCAGCATTTAGGGAGGCAGTTTACCAGATGTGCAGAGAAGAAGGATAAGATGGGGCCAGACCATCTGAGAAGTATAAAAGTAAACACAGCAGGTTAATTTAATTCCTTATCATTTAAGCAAATGCAGCTGTATTTACTATAACATGCAAAGTTCTAGCTGGACACGAGGCAACGTATTCTTCAGAACATCATTATGTCTGATCCCCAGTGTAAGGTTTTTCCAGCCTTTAATGCTTTAGTTTTTCTTAGATCAGTACATTGATCTCAAAAGTAACATTACACAGCCTTAGTAAACCTTCTAAAAGTAGAAAAAATTCACTGTGTGTTTAGCAACAGCACAGGAAATTATAGATCAAAGGCTGGTTGTTACTTCTTCCTGCTGCCTTTTTTTTTTTTAAGAGACGAGAGCATATGAAAAATCTGAGCTTAGAATAAGCATACTTCCTATTCTTTGGAAATGCATAATAGAGGTTACATTTTATGGAAGAGATGTGCTAGGTACATTATAGTACAATACATTAAAGTATCTTTTTTAGAGAGTATCTCTGAGGATAATTACCTGTCATATCTTTTATATCATTTATTACTCCTGACTTGTGTCAGTAACAAAAAGCTCAGGATTTTAATGATAGCTAAGAAAAAGGTAATCATGTTTCACACACGAGTGGTGCGTTTCTTTTTTTATTTCAGTAAATAGTAAGGTCTTAATTTCCTGGTAACAGACTAAGAAAACTCTGACCAAGTTTTTGCTTCATTTCTCCACAATTTAAAATAATCCACAATAAATAAATAAATTTCAAATTTTAGGTTTACTTTTAAAAATAATCAGCATAAAGATACTACATGGTACAGGTTTAAGCTGATGCTGCCACAGGCAGAGGGTTAAAATGGAAGATTGTTCGGAATTCCTTCCAGTCCTACTTTCCTATGTCTCTGTAAGACCCAGAAGACAGCAGCATCCCAGGGTTCCTTACATATTCCTCAAGCATTTTCAGTGTTGCACTACAACCCGTATCGAAGCATGTCTAAAGCCATATGGCACCCAAACCTTTGAATGCTTGGATGCCTATCCAAACTTTAGATCAGACAGAGGCAAAAACTACGTTTACCCAACTGAAGTTGCTAAGGCTTGCTGTGAATTCACTCTAAGTCAAAGGACCTTAAATCTATTGCCATCAATGTCCACTGCACACTTATTGCAATAATGAGGCAAGCTACTGTTTCAGGGATTTTCAAGTTTGTAGTTATTCATTTAATTGTTTGGAATGGAGAGAAGGGATTACATCAGTGAACCTGAAGTCCAGGAAATGAATG